TCGGACAACTTATTAGTTGCAAGCATTCTTGTCTCATCTCTTCCCCTGACAACAAAAACTGATCAAGAGACCTGGCCCTCACCCAAGAATCAAGATCCCGGTTGTGTCCATCGCCCTGTCCCAACCCATCCAACTACCTTGCTCCAGCAACGGTTTCTCCCTTCTCTAGACGCGTGTCTCTCGCTGTGGACCAACCACTTGTGCCTGGAACAGGTTGCCTAACCTGCTGCACAAGCCGCTGAACCGGCTGCCGCACTGTAGTTGCAGCAGTTGATATGGGGACAGATGACGGGAATCTTGAGTCTGCCACCACTATCTACTCATGAACTTCCCGCTGGAAATATGCCGTACTGAGGTACCAAGAGACCACTCATAGGCAGCAATGACACGGACACACCGGCCACCGCTGGGGGAACTACAACGAGTTGCGCAGGCCTCACCGCAGGCTTGGGGCCTCTCTGCGCAGCCAGAATCTAATTCTGACCAGCTATCAATGTGGCTAGCATTTCCTAAAACACGGCCTGTACTTCTGCCACACTGACTCAACCGAAGTGTCCGCTTATTAGGAGCTTCCACATCCAAAGCATCTAACCTGTTTAGTTCCACCTCCCTCGCCTCTAGTCTAGGCTTTCTTCTTCTAGCTCTATTTCGTCTATCCTCTACCTCCTATATCTGGCGCTGTAACTTTGTGTGAAGGGCATCCGTTTCTCTGATCTCAACGTCCTCCATTGACACTGGTTGTTGTTGGCGGTCCTGCACGCCAACAAACTGACTAGTGCAAGGCCCTGATATGCCCTGACTAACACCTATCGAAGAGGGCTGGGAAGAGACCTGGGACATTGCAGAAACAGTAGCCTTTGCTGCCTCGGCCTTGGCTCTAACGTGCGCTGCTACTACAGCTGCTAGTGCCATCACTGCGTTGGTTGCTGCCACCTGTACCTTCCGCGAGACCCAACTCTCCTCAGCTGTTCTCCGCTGTCTCTTTCCTCGCCTGGTCTTTGACACCAAGCAAGTGGTCAGCCGACAAAGTGCCTGTCCACAAGCAATCCTCCCCTCATCCTAGTCTATGTCTCAACCTCATTGTCATCTTCATCCCAAAGCTACATGTGGCATGCAATCTGAACTAGTGTCCTCGCTGGGACCTACTGCAACGTGGCACCCAACCGCTTAATGAATAAAATTAAATATACGGTCCAGATTTATAAGGAAGCAGTCAAGCGGTAACAGCAGATAGTTTCAGACCCCTACAAACAATTCTATTCGTACTTTTGACTAGTCTGAAACAGATGTTTGCAGCAAGAATAAACAACTACTCTATCTGCAACAGTCTGTTAGTTGTTAGCAGTCCGTCACAGCTAACTAATCAAAAATAAAAATAAAACCGTTTTTTGAAATGCATGCTGAATGAAAATATTACAATATTGAACAATCGAGCAGTTACTGGAATCTTCCCTCCCCCTGTATCCCTCTCGGGTAGTCACTTTGTTTCAATGTCCTGTAGCTCTGGTTCAGACAGCGTGTCTAAAGGTGTGCAATCCGGCCCACCCTTGTGCCCCAGGTCTAAGCTAAGCCTGCCAGCCCTGCATCTTCTTTATCCTCGCATGCAACGAGCCTCCCGCCAGAAATATTTATAGACGGTCTGGTGAATCTCTTATAGGGCTGGCATGCCCAGCATGACCTCTATTGCACAGCAAGCAGAACCAAGTACTTGCGGCAAAGCATGCGTGTACTAGTCCCAGCGAGTTGGCATGGTGACCGCGACAGGAGTGCTTCGTCCATGGCCCTTCAGAGGCTTCGCCCCTCTCCCACCAGCTTGCTGCCCAGGAAGAATGTCGACTCTCAAGGTTGAGCGCTCGCAACACCTCACATCGAGAGGACTCTCAAGACAAGACTCACTTCCTCACGGTAAGAAGCAACGAAGAGGGTAGATAAGGTAAGGAACAACGTACCTCATAATGCTGCCCCCAACCACAGATTTCTCACCAGTAACCTGACGTGCATTAATGATGACCAGTCGATGCCTCGGCACAGCCCACAATCCAATGCAGTTCCACCTTGGCTTAAATTGCCACGACAGCAAGCTCTCATCATCCAGCGTGCACCCCTATGTCACCTCATAGCCTTCCAGGCGCGCCCTCCCAACTCAGGGCCGCCTTTACTCCAACGCACAAGCATTATCACTGCCCCGCCATTTCCCAACGAAGCACCAAACAGCTATTGCGAAGGAACCAGCGGAGTGGTTCGAACCAGCTCCGATACCAAATTGCAAGGAAAATGAGAGAGAGCGAGATGACAGACTCCAGATAGCACAACCACATTGAAACCAAGAAAGTCCCACAGTGTCCAGATAAGCAGCATTGCACCAATATTACACCAATGGAGATTTGAAACACTGAAACCGAATGTCAATGAGAGCTTTACTCTCGTCCCCACCAACATACGTATCCAGGCCCTCTCCCCCTACTTGGGGCTCGGCGCCCAGGCTACTCCCTACACAGCTACTTCCTGCCTACAAATTGACAATGCAACTGTTGGCGTCAGCAGCCACCGAAGTACTCGAAGATGCCGACCAATGCAGACCATCGCCAATACCAGGTATGCGCTCTCACATCATCATCCTGATCTCTTTCACTCTCTCCCTATCCTTGTCTTCCTCCCCACGTCTTGTCCCTTATGCACGAAGACCACCACCACCTCCACTGGCTGTCCAAGCCAAGCCCTGGCTATGTAGGGCTGGCTATGGCGCTGCCCTCGGCAGCGCCCTGCCTTCTTCCAGCGCCCGTGTGCACTGCCTGGCAGCTAGTGCTAGCGCACAGCGCACAGCCTGTGAGCTCATGCTCAAGCAGTGCTGCCACATGCACCGCCTAGTGCCCGAATGCCTCCACCAGTGGCGAGCTCTTTCCTTTATGGAAAGTGCTCGCCCAGTATGCTCCCTGGCTGGGCCTCGTGTATTCCCAGTAGCTTCCAATCCGGCCAGAGTGTCTGCGCCCAGGCCCATTCAGACAGTGGCCTGGGACCGAATTGGTTGAGCCTGCCCAACCACCCAGGAATAAACGTGAGGTTCTCCCTGCTTCGCCTGTGCTGCTGGAAGAGCCAAGAAGGCTCAGGAATTATTTCTGATTCTCAAGAGTATGGAGGATGTAACCAACTGGCGCATGGCAACTGTCTGGCGCCCACCAACCTTTACCAAATTTGATGAACTCAGGCCATATTGAAATTCAGGGGGCCCACGTTCACTTAGGGCGGGCTCATGCTTGCTGATAGGGCCCTACAGGGCATGCCAAGGAGGCAACTCGTAACAAGACCTCGTCCAAGATCCATACCCACATGGGGTTTACAACAGGCTCTGCTTGGGCCCCTCGGCCTGGTCTCATAGCCCTATAAACAGGCATTGACACATATTTGCAGGCCCGCCTTCACTTAGGGTGGGCACGGCACTTTCAGACACTGCCGAGGAACTAAATCCTCGCACCTATCAACCCCGTCAACATATTACTTACCAGTTGACCAATGTCAGAAAGGTTAAACCAACCAGTACAAGGCCCCAGCCTTGTGGAAGTTCATTCATTGGCTACTCCGAAAATTTTGTGGCTCTGGCCTACCGGGCCACAATGGCTGGCGACCCCAGCCAAAAAAGGCAAGAAGTGTACCACCACTGGCGGTTTGGAAGAGCTTGGCACGCAGCGCAGTGCCTGAGTGCCTCCAGGCCCCGGTGTACTGGTTTGACAAAACACAGCTCTTGTACATGGACTCTTGCAGCCACTGTATTTTTACCTCCACCTGCAGCCCCGAAGACTGTACAAAAAAAAAAAAAAAGGAAACAATCTTCCTAGGAGCTGCAGCCCCCATGCAGCTATCCCGCAATTGATTTTTTAACGTCAGCATCCCTCCGGGATTGAGAACTTTTCCAACAGAGAATGGAACCAGACTATAAAGGTCCTCAAATTACAGGCAAATTGCACTCTCTTCACAGGTACATGAATGGCAACATGGGAATTAGCAGAAAGGACAAGGTAATGATCACATTAGCAAAAGAATTGACAATGTTAAAGTCTCTTGACGATGAAAAGCCTCTTCCTTTTCTCCCAGCAACCAATGGAACAAAATGACTCTTGGCTCTCACCGGCCATTCTACCAGCCTATGAGATCAGCCACTCCATCATCTACTCTCAGCCTCTCTGTGCGTGAAGAATGGTTGCTGTTGTCATTTTCTATGCACTTGGATGTCAAGTCTTCCAGGTTTCAAAATTGGCTTCAGGCAACCTGTTTTGCACCACGACTTTTCTGTTCAGAAGAGTGGGGCAAGGGGGGCAGCTGATCAAAATATCAGGCATGTAAAGCACATAAAAAGACGACCACCAGGCATACTGTATGCGAAGCAACACACAAATGGCACAATTGAGCACATAAAGCAAAAGGTCCCCAAATGGGAGTAACAGAGAGAAAAACAAAAAGAGGCATGTGTACTTCTTGTTATTCTCTTTACTTTTTCCTTTCCGACCTCTCTTTTCCTGCTCGGATAGCATTTTCTGCACATGCACTACAGAATGCACAAAAACCTACCACACAACCAACGAATTTAAACGCCCTCCAAACACGGGACCACTCTTGGCATACAGCACTACACCCACTGCTCACAAAAATCAGGTGGTCTGCTCACAAAAATCAGGTCTTCTGAAAAGAACCAAAACACTGCATTCCTGCCCCGAGAGTACTTTCTTGATACACTATAGCCGCAACTGCTGCATGACATTCTTGTCATGTGACACTGTAAAACTGAATGCAAAGCAAACGGAAACAGAGGCCACCCCATACGTGTCCGCCCTGTGGAGAGCGGAAAAGGCACAGGCAAGTGACTCATCCTCCACCCGTACAATTCCCCCTATTTTGATGCAAGCAAAACTGTGCCAAGCAAACGCTTCTGGAAGTACACGACCAGCGTAACAAGCTAGAGCAAAGGAATGAGAGTCAAGAAGAGAAGGAATAGAAAGGCTCCTCACACCAAGTAGTCGCTGCACAAGCTGCTCCCTTGCCATTGGATTGTGCAGTAAAACCAGCATCCTAGCCAAAAGAACCTGGTGCATAAGACGGAACACAAGAAGCCGCCAGAACAAATAGACCAGACATGAGCCTCTGAAATCACACTTATTTAGGCTCCTCTGCCCCAGTTGTTGGGCTGCGGGAACAAGAAAAAGAAAGAAATGAACACATATCCACTGTATATGGCAATTAACCCTGTGCTTCCACAAATCGAGAATAAAGCAGCGGAACCCATTGCTACAAAGACCTAGACAGTGGTCCTAATGGACCAGGTCTACACCAACGTCCAAAGGTGATCTTATGCCTAGATCTATTCGTTTTCCTACCACCTGTTTGCCTTGAATTTGAATTTGGTATGAAATTTGAAGTCTCAGCCAAAAGCAGCTCAACAATGCATTGATATCCATGTTACAAAACTACAAATCAGCTAGGCTGGGCCGTCGCCCGGCCAGGCATGCCCGTGCCAGCTGGGACGGGGGATATCGCCCGTCAAAACCAGGCAGGTCAAAAAAGAGGGAAAGATCCCCAAAAACAAGAAACTGACTTCAGGCCAGGACTGGGCTCGGCCTGAGCAGTCAGAATCCGGCCTTCCCAGAATTTCGCTGGTGGGTCACCCAGGGGTGTTTGGGGGGTATAAAGTTAACTCTAAACAGTGACTAGAGAGGTTTGAAAGGGTATATTTGCAGCCCTAAGGCTGCGGTATAGTGGGCTTCCACGCCTGTGTCAAGGTGTCACATTTTTGGCAGCGGCCGACCAGGACGCAAAGTGGGTTTTTAAGGGGGAAAAAAAATTGGGGGACCGGTCCTTGCCAAAATTGCGGACTACCTACAGCTAGCTCTGGTAGAACCGGGACTTTTGGAAAAAGGAAGGACTGGTCCTCGGGTGGAAGTGGACCCCCAAAAGAAGTGGGGGGCGTTGGACAGGTTCTCGGGTAGAAGCGGACCCCAAAAAGAAGTAAGGGCATGTGAACTGCAAAAGGGCCCTCAGGCCCAGGCGTTGAGGCCCGTCTTTTCAAAACAACGAGGTCAGGCACAACGAAACAGGTGTTTTACAAGAGCGAACTTTGGCGATTTTCTGTGCTCGGACGAACCCGCAGAAAAATCTGAAATTTTGAGAATCCATAGATGAGGTCGTGTTCTTTCCAGGAATAATGTTACAACATTTTCAAAAAATCATTTAGACTGCGAAATAATCGCCGCGCCGATTCAGCACATTTTCCATTTTTGCCACTCAGCCATGTGTTGGCCACCTAAAAAAAGTACTCCAAATTCAGTGAGTTTTCGCACTCAGAAGAAAGCGAGATCAAACCTGGAAATTGAAGTACTCGTAGATTTTGTTGTGATCTTTCCAGGAAAAACGCTCAAAAAATTAAAAAAAATCATTCCAACTATGAAATAGATCGCTGTCGGTGCGAATACCCTTACAAGGGTATCCACCCTAGTTTTTGCAAACGCATGAAAATAAGTTTGAGGTTACATTGACTAGAGCAGAGAGTGTGTGGGCGCGCAGGCTTGAGGCGCGCGTGATTTTTATTGTTGATGATTGAAGGACCGGTGTGATCGCCGACCGAGTTTTTTTTTTTTGAATAAATCAGGATTAAAAAGATTAGGTCTCGTTGAACGATGAGCTTGCCCTTGACTTGTGCATACGTGCGGAGGGCGACATTGACTGCGCGTCGCACAGTATTCCTTTATTTAGGCGTCCGTCAAAACTAGAACCAGCCTTGGCCCTAGCACTATTGGTTACAACGTCAGCCTTTCATCAAAGAGATTCAGGGATCAAGGCCGAGCGGCAACGATGCGGGATATCAGAGTGGCGTCGAGGGCTCGGCGGGGCTATCCCCTTTGGTTTTGCGGTCGGCAGCGTCAGAACGGTACTAGCGGTCTCTTTTCCCTCGTTCGTCGTATTTTGACGATTAAAAGTTCAGATATTTTATTATTTTATTATTTATTACTATTATTTTTATGCATTGGCGTTCCTTGACTCAGACACGGCTGGATTTAGTGGTCGTCACGGCGGTCGAGGACCTTGAGCGTGCGCCTCTTTTTGTTTGACCTACGGGTTCTTGCGAGTTGGGATGCTGGTGAAAGTCCTTGGTCCCACAGTCCTAAGACGCCGGCCAAGGAAGTCGACGTACATGCAGGCAGATGGGCCACGAAGCGGAAGAGATCTGAGTGGCAGGGGTTACCGTGGGTGCACCACCCGCCTGGGCACGTTTTCGCGACGGATTCATTCGAAAAGAGGGGCTATGGAGAAAAGGGGGGAGGCGCAAGGGAAAGTGTCGAGCTCGCTCGATCCTTAGCAGAATCGAGCGAGAGAGGAGTCGATCTTGGGGTTTGGACCCCAGGCGAATTCAATTTTGGAGTTAGTTTCAGTGAGAAGTTAGTAGGAGGAGAGGTTAGCGGAAAGAAAGGCTGCACAGATGGATGGAGATGGCGGATATGGCAGGGGAGGAAAGTAGATGTCATACTCGATTCTTATTAGAAACGAGCGAAGGAAGGTGGTGAATAGGGGTTCTTGGACCGCGCGAGCTCAGTAGTAGTGTTAGTTCTAGCTCTGGATTATTAAAAAGATGAGAGTTAGTAAGAGTAAGGGGTGCGCGACGATGTCGGGGAAGGAGCGAAGGGGAAACTCGAGATCAAAGATCCCGCCCGTTACTGCACGAAGCGGGCGATCAGGGAGTCAAATCGGGGGTTTTTGCCCATTGCGAGTTCAATGGGCGTGTTAATCTGGCCGATGGAACATAGGTTCGGGTGCTATGGCGATAGGGGCTGCGCGCATGGGATGACGGACTATGATCAAGAAGAAAACGGAGAATAGAGAAGGAAGACGAATGTTACGAGAAGACAAGAAACGGGGTTAGTAGTAGCGCAGGAGGGAATGGAAAGTACGTACCTGCAGTGCGTGTAGGTGAGTACGGCAGCCACATGTACACTGGCATATATCCACCCATGTCTTAGAGTGCAATCAGACTCGTTCTCAAACACACTTTTCATGCACGTGAACAGCAACGCAGTATACTGGCGACATGCGCCCACTCAAAACTCAGAGATATGGCTTTCAGATACGAGTTCACTCTCAATTGGCTATGGCGACTTCAGCGCCCAAACATCTCACTGTTCACATACTGTGGATCACCCTGGATATCCCACACGCGTCACTCTAACACTCAAGCACACACACACACACTCACTACTAACTACAGCTATGGCAGCTATGGCTGCCTCTAACCTATCGCTATGCTAACTCCTCCTCTCTTGCCCACTGCGTCCTCCGGGCTCATCTGCAGACCTCCTTGCACAAGTCGTTG